TTTTTTATTTCATTACTAATGCAGACTTATATATTCACTGTCGCCTTTAATCGAAAACAAAAATCTATTTATAACTTTTTATTCTAATTTTCCAACTGCTAAATGTTTCGGTTGCATGGTTGTAATAATTCACATAAATTTGTTGGCGACTCGTGATCGCCAAGGTGTTCTTTTAAACCCATGTTGATATGCTTGTTGGCTTTGTTTTGGCTATGATATACTGTGATGAATCGCCAATTTTGGATCTCCATCCCATGCTTCTCCTGTGTCCGATCGGAACAAATTACACGTACTTTTTAATTTGGCTTTTGATTAGGCAGGTTGTGGGGGATTTATCTCCCATGGCCTGTCCTTATTAATATTATTATGCAAAATTGATTCAACTGATAATTCTTATGGATTATATTTATTTAGTACCTCGAGCTCTGCAAATATATAAAATAAAAGCTTTTTATTAATTCTAATCCGGCTCAAGTATTATATTTTCATCTTCTTCTGTTTTCAACATCAATCTTCAACTGGCCCCCTATGCAAACTCCAACCTCAGCTGATATACCATATTCCATCATCTCACTGAAATTGACACCCTGAATAATCCTTCTCCATAAAATTGATACCCAGATTACAAATTCTTTCTTCATAGAGGCTTTTTCTTAAGATTAAATAAAACAATAGTTTTGAAAACTTCAGTTTTTGATTGTTTGCAACTCTATAAAATATTTTGCAAAAGTAGTTGTTGTCAGCCCTGCACTGTTTTCTATAAGAGTTTCGAACTGAAATACTCAGCAGATATTCTCCAGCAGGAATAGTTTTTATTATTTAAAGGAAAAGGTAAGTTTTCGAATATTTTATTTTTTGATTTTCTTGAGATGTGAGTTATTTAATTTCTTTAAAAAATCTGAAAATTGAGTGGTTAAAAATAATCTTTAATAAATATTAACTAATTACTTATAAATAATAATAGCAATCAAACATAGAAATCAATGGTATTTTCGTAATAAATCATATGAAAAACATGGAACTTAAAAATGATTCACAATTTGAATAAAAACAGAAACAATGACATATTTAGAATTTTTAAACAAATAAGAATCTTAATCTGATATTAATGTTTCAAGCAGAATTTTTAAAAGACTGTTTTAAAATAAAAGGTTCTAACTAGTTTACTTAGCCTATTTATTTCTCTGTCATCAATTCATGTCTTTAGCATGTTGAAGAACAGATTGCACAGTTTAGGAAATGACCGCGACATAACTGTGGGATTAGCCGAGAAGGTATACTGCTAGTTCACGGATTATCTTAACCCTTTATATCACCGTGTTGCATATCTGCAACATACACAAAAAGCCTATGTCTTTGCCCCAACAAATTTTGAAGGACGATTTCGGCGATTGTCGGCCAAAACCAGTGCCCCAAGATGAAATTGGGCAATTAGGCACTGGCCTAATTGGGCTAGCAAAAGAATCAGATGCAAATACCCAAAATGCAAAGAATCTACACAAACTATTTGTGAGAAATCTGGTGTAGGACTTTATTACAGCAAAAGTAACAACTGTTTTAAAAATTTTCATATGAATTAAAATTTTTGAATCTTTCAATCTTAGTGCCATTTTTCACAATGTTGCAGGAATGCAACAAGCACTTTTTGTCATTTTGCATAAGGGTGCAGAAATGCAACAATAAATATTTTTCCAATAATTTTTCTTATTTTATGTTGTAAATTTTTTTAATTATTTTTTACATGCTTAGAATGATGTATTCTAATGTATGAGTAATTTTTATTAAAATCAGAGATGTTGAGATATAAAGGGTTAAATAGCGAAATCACAATATGCAAATTTCTTATGATGCTTGCCTTAAAATAAGTAGTGGGACAACTCTACATAAATTTAAAATGTTCATGACTTTAAAAAAAAAATTCTTAATCAGTGTCGTTATTATTACAGTGAACAATTATAAATTTTAAAATTGTAGTAATTCAATTTTACTTTATTCCCTTTATAAAATTAAAAACTATTACTGCCATTTTTCAGAAAAAATGAAACAGTAGCATGTGATTTCTTTCTTTCCTTATAAAGAATAAAAATAATCACATCGATTATAAGGAAAATATATTTGCGAGTCATAGTGGGGTGATGATTACTTATGTTGGTTACCATCAAAAAAATAATGGTTATTGATGGTTACCATCAAGACTATGTTGGTCCATCAATGAAAAACCATTAAAATTTTTAACTTGGGTATTAGCTTTTTTCTCTTTGTCTCTCTTTCGCCCTGAGGTCCCTGTGAATGTCATTACTTTTTGAGTGTGATGAAGTTGAGTTTCTAACTGTACATACCTTCAAACTAGCAGCCTCATCTAGTGATACAGCTACCCTAGCATATCCTTTTACAACACCCTGGCTCACAGGAATACCTGAAAATAAAAAACCGGGATCCAGGATTAGGTTTTAAAATGTAAAATTCATTTAGCGTGGCCATAGCCGGAAAATCGTGAACAGTAACATAAAGGTTACATTTAATTAAGATTGCAAGATAATTACAACCGGGTAAATTTAAAAAGGAGTTCGCAAAGATTGGAGAAACAAATTGTTTTGACCAATTAATATTCCTTTTATTTGATGAAATATATCTCGAAACTAAAAGAAAAGAAATACATCTAGAATTATTTATCAAAATGAACGAAAATATATCTCCAACTTAAAACTGATAAACTTGACGGATACAGCGTTAGGAACGGACTACGGCATTCTCAAACACCAGAACGCGCACCCCTTGCAATGTTACGATTGGTAAATGAGTCTGACAAAGAAAGCACAGGCATAAAGTTCCCAAAAATAAAATTTCACAAATATTATGGTATTTAACCCTTTTGTCACAGAATTTTTACTAAACATATTTTTCTTACTTTTTTCATTATTTAGTAATAAGTTAGGTCAAAATAAAATAAAGATATTACATTTAGCATTTTAATAATTTATGGTTATGAAACACTGGTGTCTTTGTCTGGGTTAAAGATTAAATCTACCAAATACGGCTCATTTCCAAACAGTAATTTTTCAAATCTGCACTTATTTGCAGTTTTTTAGATCTAAGAGAAAACGTTATTCATCATTGAAATTTCTTTAATTAAAAAAATCAAATATTGATCATTTTTTAATATTGATAAAAAAAAATTCAAACTACTTTTTATGGATTTTACATTTTAATACAATATAATTCCGATAATCTAACAGATTTTTTAAGAAACCATTAACTCTTTTTTTTATAATAAAAAAATACCAAAATATACTTTTGCTTATTATTAGAGTGTCAGTAAAATTATAACAGAAATACTGGTGCCTCATCTGCGTCAAAGAGCTAATGAATATCATATACTGGTGCTCAAGGGATTTTTTTCGACAAAAAGCAGAAGATATTACATAAAAAGTATCAACAAAAAGCTGAAGATAGTTACTAGTCCCCCTTCAACATACTCTTTCTATGAATCTAAATTGAAAATTCGTAAAACAAATTTATATCAATTGATCTTATAAATAATACCATAATCTGATAGTCGCTTTTAATCTTTCAATTACGTTCATAAAGTCTTAGAATCCTATAGTAAAGAATTAGAATGAAGTCTCTCGGTCATTTGGACCCAACTTTAAAACACTAAGTGACCTGGAACATATACGAAGATCTCATCTAGTAAAATACTGTTAAGTAAAATACTGTTAGTAGACTACAATTAAATAAATTAAAACACAGCTAAGTTTGTTTAGTTTTGTTATAGCATGTCTAATATCTATTGCTTTACATATAATAATATTTTGTTCTGATTACGGAGTGAATTTGTTTAAAAGAGAGGGGTTAAACTAAAACCAGTGGCGTGACAGCCCATTTCAGTCTTCTTAACCTTGAGCTCTGGGATTTAGGAGCAGCCGGGTGGTCAGCCGAGCACGGAAGCCCGTGTTTCGTCCTCAATCATGCTTAGTACTCATTTCATCGACCCACTAAAGGGATGAGAGGCTAACCCAAGTCAAAATTTCTGATGGTTCTCCATTGATGGACCAACATAATTTTGATGGTAATCATCAATAATTTCACCATGACCCATTATATTTCAGATGGTAACCAACATAAGTAACCATCACCTTAAAGTAGGAATTCGGACTGATTTATGATGGTCTAACATTAGAATAGCAACTTGTTTTGATGGTTTGTTCATGTTAAATCATCAGAAATTCCCATCATAGTTTCTTAGAAATCAAACGTTGGAGCAATCAGGAACCACTATCACAACACTGTAGGAATTCGGACGGATATTTCATAGTTCAACATAAAAAAAAATTGTTTTGATGGTAACAATAACCTATGAGAACTAACAAGAATTCCCATTAAAACATCATCGAAATATATAGTTGGAACCATCATGGACCATGACGTACGATACATCATGGACTGTTTATCAATGAGAATCAAATTTCTCTTGATGGTTAACCATCCTATTATTAAAGTAGTATTTTCCATCATAGAATGATGGAAGTTTGCTGTCATATCAAAAACCATGAACGCGTAATGGAAAATGTTGGATGGTGGTGACCATCAAATGATGTTGGATCATCATGAATCGCACAGAAACCAACGCAAACCAAGAAAACGTTTTGATGGGACCATCGAGACTTATAACTTGGGAAGTAAATTTTGTCCTGTCAAACCCAGGATTTGTGGCACGAGAGAGCATAATAAGGTATGCATGAATAAATAAAAATATTAAGGAGTGCGGGAGGAAAATAAGTCTCTTTCACCTACATAAGAACAGAATACACAATGAAAAATTTCTCCTGTTGTTTATCGTCCTCTTAGAATTAAAACGAAAAAAAATTTTTTAAATAAAAGGTAATCTTAATATTTACCTTGCATTGTTAAGTCTGCAATATATTCAGTCGAATCGGAAGATTCTTCTACTTCATTTACCTAAATATTCATAAATATATCATATCAAAATAATAAGTCATTTTTAGCATAAAACTTATATCTACAAAACACAGAGCATTTCAGCATCAAAAAATGCAATTTTTTAATATTATGTAAGAATATTTTGTAAATGTGTTAATCGTAATGAAATTGACGATTACCTGTTTTTGAGGAATAATCATCTGTACTTGAAAAACAAAATAATCTAAGGAGAACGAATTATGAGACTCAGAAGAAATAAATTAGAAGACATTTTACTCGTTAGAAAGACTTACAACTGTTTGTAAAAGGAACGTATTTTAAAGTATTTTTTATTTTTAAAAATTTCACTATTAATATTTATCATTTATATCTGGCAACATATAAGCATATCTCTTCTATTGCATTTTCTTGACAACCACTCGAGCGCGAGCTTATAAAATAAAGAAATAGAGATTTTGTGAGGGAAAAAATTAAAGTATCACAACAATTGATAAATAATCAATATGTAGAAGCAGAAAAAATGATGAAAAATCGTGAAAAAATACTTAAATTAAACTTTCGAATATATATATATATATAT